ATCTCACAGCCTTCCACTCTTGTTTAATTAATTTCTGAGTCAGCACACAAAATATCGGGTTTTATCAAAACATTTTTATTATGCTATGTTTTTATTTACCAATCCCCACTGTCCTCCCTCATCTTCCCTGCCCCCCATCCTCTTACTCTCCCCAAAAATTATCCCTTATTTTATACTTTTTCAAACCTAACATTTTTCTTTTATGAGAGAAAAGGAAAGTTTTACAAACCTTGTAAGTTTACAATAACAGATATTTGTGGTCTATACGGCAAAATTAATTTTTTTAATCAACAGATAAACTTAGACAAAACTGATAATCTTAGAATATTTATTCTTCCTATGAATATGATATATCTGCCCATTTATGCATTATTTAAAGTCTCTTCATTGTAAAGATTTTCCCTATTATGTGCATTAGGTACAGATGTATATTTTGTTGGAGATATTCCTACATATTCAGTATTCACTGAGTAGAACTGTACTCTTTCTCTTTATATCTAATTATTATTGCTGTACAAAAACTAACATATGCATAGGCTAATTTTATATCTTGTTAACTAACTCCCTACATTCTTTCATTATGTCTAATATTTTTTTCTTTAATTCTGTTTTTTCTTTATAAATATATTATCATTTGAAAATAATTGCAGGGTTCTTTCTCTGTGTTTCTAATCTCCATGCCTTTAATCTCTACTTCCTTTACTATTGTTTAGGGCCAGGAACTCTAATACTGTGTTATATAAATGTCATGATTGTGAACATTTTTTCCATTTTTTAAAAAAATTAGAATCTTCCAAAATGTCCTCATAATAAAAAAAAAGTTGTTATTTATTATTGACTTAAGGAAATTGTCTTCTATTTCTAACTTACAAAGAAGTTTCAATGATGACTCCAACTTTATGAAGTGTTTTTCTCCATCTAGTGATATAAGAACATAGCTATCTCTCATGTTAATATTCTAAATTACATGTAGGTGTCTTAAAATCAAACTATTAGGCCTGGAAAGATGGTTAAGAGCACTGGCTGCTCTTATAGAGGACCAGAGTTTGATTCCCAGCACCCACACAGTGGCTCACAACTATCTTTAACTCCAGTTCCCAGGGATCTGATGTCCTCTTCTGGCCTCTACAGGCATTGTACTCATGTGGTGCACTTACATACATGCAGGCAAAATATACATGTAATAAGATGAAAACAATGTTTTTATTTTATTTTATTTTTTCAAGTTTTTTTATTATTTTTTAGAAGAAGCATTTCATTACAGTTTTAACTTATTCAATAACAATTTCCAGAGCAACAATACATCTCTTTCAAAAGTGGATGTAAATTTTTAGGTTCACAGTTGAATTAATATAGTTATACAATATTGAACTCAGTATAAACCCTGTAAGACCTAAAATTGAATGAGGTTTTACCCTTTAAAGAAGATCTCCATTTCAGGAAATAATGTTTTTAAATTTAAAAAATCAAGCTGTCATTTCGTTCTTGAATTATGCTAAATATAGTTTAGATATTGTTCGCATTTTAATAAAAGTTTCTAATATTTTCTTTGAGACTTTTGAATCTATGAATTTAGTAGTAGGATTGTATTCCTTCTGTTAAATAATTTATATCAGGACTATGAACATTAATTTTGCATATATCAAAATTACAAATGTTACACAATGAAAGAAAAACAATATTAAAAGAACCCAGGTGAAGATATATATAAAATATATGACTGACACAGGTTTAGTGCCTCAGCTATACAACAGATTCTTACAAGGCAATAACAAAAAGACTAGTCAGATATGCAGTCCTAGTCACAGCTGTAATCCCAGCACTTGGGAGGCTGAGGCAGGAGAACTGCTAGGAGTTCTAGGCAGCTTATTCTACATAGTTAAGTCCCAGACCAGCCAGGGCTACATAATGAGACACTATCTCAGAATGAACAAAAAGAGAGAAAGAAGCCAAAACTATATGTTCATGGACTCTAAAATTAAATTCACATACAGAGGACAAAGTAGACAGCTACTGGATATGTGAAAATATTCTTTACTTCAAAATTAGATCATAGAATTTTTACCACAATCATGTCATTTTAAAATTCACAGGAACAGCCAAAGTTACAAAGGAAAATATTTCTTGGTGTTGACAATGTAGAAAAGTAAGAATCTCATTCCTGCTGATGGGAGTGTAACTGATAGCATGTATAGAGAAACTTGGAAATATTTACTGAAGCTGAAAATGTTCATGCCCTACTAATGAGCAGTTCTACCTCACTGACACACCCCAGAATGTTGTAACATTAAAAGTAACCACAATAGAGTTCCATCAAGAAATGCCTAACTTAACTGAGGCAGATAAAATAAACTATATCTAAATTAATACACCTTATTATATTTATTTATTTAGTGTATGTGCACATGTGCATGAGGGCATGTATGTGTATGGATGTGAGCACCACAGCACATAAGTGGAAATTAGAGGACAACTTGCAGGAGTCAGCTCTCTCTTTCCATCATATGGATCCTTAGGATCAAACTCAGGTCAAGTTCATTTATCTGTTGAGCCATCTTGCCAACCCAAACATTCATACATCTTAAAACAGATTACTGAGTAAACAATAAAAATGCCAACACGAACGTAACATGGGTAATGTGGAACCATTCTTGCAGATCTTGAAAAAAAGATTATAATTACCTGTGACTTAAATACTATATACCATTAATGTTATATATCATTTATGACTGCAAATAAATTAAATTATGAATCATGACTAGAAAACAATACACACTAACTTCATGTATTGGGTGACTCTAGAGATGCTGTGAGAGGGGAGGAATGGGGAAAGGGGGTTCCTCCTGTGACATTAAGGGCTTATTTTTACAATTTGAAGAGATAAGACAAAATGTTAACATTTGCTCATCTGATGGTAGAGAGTTTGTGGACTTTTTTCATAATTCTAGGTTTTCCATATTTTTACCTCTGTGTGTGTTGTACGTGGGTGTGTGCTCACCTGTGTGGGTACATGTGTGTGAGGGTGCACATGCATACACAGGTGTATAGAGGCCCAAGACTGATGTTGAAGTCTTCCTCCATGGCTCTCTGCTTTATTCATTGAGGCAGGGCCTCTCATTTGAACCACAAATGCCTATGGGTTAGTCCAGCTGGCCAGCTTGCTCTGGGGACCTCATGTTGTTGCCTTTGTAGAGACGGAATTACAGGGAGGTTGTGATGCCCACCAGCTATTTAGAAGGTTCTGGAAATCCAAACTCTGGTCCCCAGGTTTGGGTCCTCAGCTTTATCAGCTGAGCCATCTCCCCAGTCCCCAGTTTTTCCATAAAAAACGTTTTTTTAAAAAAACTTTTTTTCCATAATTTTAAACTGTCCATGAAAAAAAGAATCTCTTTAATTACTTGATGAACACTGTGTGTTATTGTCATCCCTACTGTTCCCAAATTCATTCTCCCTCTCTGTGGCTGGATGCTCTCTAGTGAGGAAATCCTGTTTCAGCATCTTTTTTTCCCCCCCTTTTTTTTTAAAATTGAGCTTTTAAAATTCATACAATATTCATACACTATTTCCACTCACATCCAGACCCCCTCCCCCATCCATGCTTCACACACACACACACACACACACACACACACACACACAGCAAACCCTACACACTCTACCATTCATGCTGAGTGATGAGTCCTATTCATTCAGGTGTCTGTACCCAAATTGTCCTTCAGCATCTTTAATCTGAGAGGGAGAATAGGTGGTCATTTAGGGTTCTTCCTAGCTCAGATAGTCTAGGTGTCCTCCCGTCATCCTTTTGGCACCTCCTTTTTAAGGTTCAGTACCTGAATCCAATAACACTCTATCTCCCTCCCCTCTCTTTCTGCCTCTCCCCCCCCCCCCAGAAGTTTCCAGGAAACATTTAACTAAAGCATGCACAGCAATCAAATTTGCTGAACTCCTAGGAAAAGTTTTGCTGTTGCTGTTGTTTTCTGTTTACTTTCTTATGAGGAGTCCCCTTTTCCAAATGTCCCGCCCTTTCCCCCTGCGCTAGAAGAAGTGTAGGGGAAGGAAGCCCCGGGGGCGAACAGCTCTGCGGAGCAGGGTACTGCAGTCCAGGGAGCAACTGCAGTCGGGAGCATCAGAGCTGCTGTGCAGAAAGCAAGACCGCCGGGGCTCTATGATGGGGCAGTGCTGTGTCGGGGAGCAACTTTTACTTCTCAGCTTCTGAAGAGTTGTCAGAAGTCCTAGAGAAGCGGAAGGTGAAAAGGCGCGGTGAGGAGAGACAGGACCGAGGGTCTGAAACCCTCCAGCACCCGCATCAGAACAGCCAGAGCCTGGCTGGAAGACTCGGAAAGGGAGTGAGCCCGCACCCCGAGGGGACAGAGGAGAGCTGGGGCCTCGGAGACCTGGGCGGAACCTACTAAGTTCAGGTCCAGCCCGGCCAGGTGCGGGTCAGGTGGCAGAGGATCCGGGCCAAACCCCAGAACCTTCCGCTTGCTGGGGACCTTCGTGCAGACATGAGCTACCAGGGGCGGCACCTCACCGACCTGCTGCAGGTAAAACTAGCCATTTAACTGGCCGCACGCATCCAGTTTCTTTTACCTTGCAACAGGTAACTGCTTTCACCGGGGATCTTGGTTTAGCACCATATAAATTCTCCGGAAACGGGGAGGGGAAATTTGACTTAATCTGACCCTCCTACTCACACTAGGCAAACACTTTTCACTATAACCTCCTTAATTTCATGTAACAATGTGGTTGACTCCTAACAAACCCAGTACTCTGGGGTCAAGGCAGTCCGGCAGCTACAACGTGGACACTACAATAGTTTGTAAAGTTCTGTTGAGTTATCAGCTATTTTATTCTTGTTGTCATCGTTATTTTATTATCGCTATTGACATTCCTTAGTGCTATTACTTTGTTTGAATACTGCATTGTGTATTTGTCTGACATTTTCCATTTTTGAGCTAATAAATATTTAATCACCATTTCATCTATTAAAATAGAGATCGAGACACCTAGGTGACAGAGAAGCCCTGGTTTCTGAACCTGAGCACAAAGGGAAATCTTGTCAGTCTGCTGCCGTGTTCAATGTCGTCAACTCCATTATAGGATCTGGGATCATAGGTAAGTGTGCCGTGTTTTGTTTGGTTTGGGTTTTGATGTTAAGTAAAAAGACCGATTTAAAACTGTTACTATCTGCTAGCATTCTTGATTATTTTTAAAGAAAAAAAAATCTTAAATGAGAAAATTGGTGATTTTCTTCCTTTTTCCCAGTGTAGCAAGGTGCCTGTCTCTGTGTGATGCAGATGGGGTTGGTTCACCCCACAACCCAGAGCATCCTCCTCAGTCCAGGTGGAACTGCACGGGGAGAGGGGGAGTTTTCGTTTTCATAGGTTGTCTGGTCAAAAGATAACTTCACTAATTTGTTTGTTTCCTGTGGGGGCAGTATCAGCCATTATCACATTATTATAAATAAAATCTCTCAGATTCTTACAAATATTACATGTACAAAAGTTTAATGTGAGAGCCTAACAGTCTTATGAAAAATTTGACCATGCAATATTTCCTTACCTGTCTATATGATGTTAAGTGTTAAAATGTGAGCTTATGAAATAGTACACATGTCATCATTAACACAAGTCAGTTCATTTACAATAGTGTTTACAATAATTAATTAAAAGAAAGGAATAGCCCATACTTTTCCGTTGAGTTAGAAGCAAGGGAAAAAATCTGAAAAATAAACACAAAAGTGCATTGCATTGCAACAATAAAAAGAGTATTTTTCCAGTGTTTTTTTTTTCCTTCTGGTTTTTTGAAAACATTCCATTTCACAAAAGGCAAGAAAAACCAAAATCCTACAAATTTCAGTGCCCACTAAGAAAGTAACTTTGTGCTCCAAAATCTCCACATTTTAATCTACTTCAAATGGTATGTTTATTTGGCTGAAGCTGATTTTCTTGTCCACAACTTGGTGTACTTCCTGGCTCTACATTTATCCTTATATAGGCAGTTAAATAAAGGAGCCATAAACTAGAGTCTCTGGGGTGAAGGAGAAGCAAGTAGGACCAAAGACCTGTTTGAAATTCTGTCCCCATGTGCCATGGAGGTATGGACAGTTCCAACTGTTTATTCCTGGTATGAATGCTTTTCCAACTTGATCAGGTTCATCAGTGTTAAAATGTACCACTTCCTGTGTTCAGAAGCTTTTTAAAAATATTTTATTTATTATTTTAATTTTATGTGTATGAGTTATCGCCTGAATGTAGGTAAGTACACCCATGTTGTACAATTTCAGAAGAGGATGGCAGACCCCCTGGAACTGGAGTTATAGATGGTTTTTGTTAGCCGTCATGTGGATGCTAGGAATTGAACTTGGGTCCTCTGCAAGAACAACCAGTGCTCTTAACTGCTGAGCCATCTCTTCCAGCCCCAGGAGCTTTATATAAAGGAATATTTTTTTCTGAAAAGAAATATTCTGGGTGTGGAAATATCTGAATTATTTTATTTTGAGCACTTTATTTTCCATAGTCTCAGATTGTTCATGCTCCCAAAATAATTGTAAAAAGGAAATTTACAGACCCCCATTGCTTTATAAAAACTACCTTTGCATTCCTAGGCTCCCTGCTTCCTATACAGTTTCCATGGTGGCAGCAGAATCAGTCTCTCCTGATCTCTCTCTCTCTCTCTCTCTCTCTCTCTCTCTCTCTCTCTCTCCCCCTCTCTCCTGATCTCTCCCTCTCTCCCTCTCTCTCTCCTGATTATTGTGGCCTCTGCTTTCCACACAGCACACAAAGAAGAGCTTGGGCTCCTCATTCTCCATCTAATCTAGCGTATGTGTCGCCCTCATCATGAAGTAAGCATCATTTGCGGCTTTTGAACTCTTTTTCCAACATCTCATGACCCTGCTTTCTTGGCATGTCCTTAACTTAATAGCATTTAATTGTGAAATGTTATATTTGATTTATTTGATTTTAGGTATGTCTTATGTGCTGCTTACAGCCTTTTCGTTACATATATAATTTGTTTTTACATCTATATGTTAATTGTAGGAGGTTTTTCTATTTCCGTATATCTTTTTAATGTGAGGTTTGGGCATTTTTATGTTTTTCCAGGATTGCCTTATTCGATGAAGCAAGCTGGGTTTCCCTTGGGAATATTGCTTTTATTCTGGGTCTCATATATTACAGGTAAATAACATATAACTGCATATTTCTGCGACTTAAAATGTGCAATGACTTCTTACACTTACACTCACACTACTTAGTTAAGGAGGACATCAAAGGATCCTAGGAATTTAAGCATCACGTCTGAGGAGATTTGGTTTTCCTCCTAATCCTTTAAACAGATTAGAGAAAGTAGAACATTACATTACCAAGCCTAAACCTTTTCATGTGCCTGTTTCACTTGAAGCAGAAAGTGGTGGGTGGGAAAGTCATTTCAGAGCTTGGTTAGGGCTGGTGGAGCACTCCTTCACAGTGTATCAGGAAGGCTGGTTAGGCAGGTGCATGTAACTGGGCAGCGGTTGTCAGCTGTGTTTGCACAGGTGAGAGCAGGGCCTTATTTCTTCAGTGGCAGGGCCCTACCCTACCCCTCCCTGATATCTGCCTGTCTACTCTGCCTGCCATGCCCTCCTGTGCAACAGTAAGCTGCTTCTAAATCACCTTCTCTTCTATCCCTCACTCACATAACAGTCATTCACACCCACATTTTTCCACCCAGAGTCTAAATGCAAGCTTTAGCACTCATGATCGTCTTCCCTTCCTGTGATCCTTGGCTCAGCCCTGTCATCCCATCAGCTCACCATGATCTTTCCTCTGCCTTAGGATCACTGCAACAGAGACAGCAATTAAGCAGACACGGGAGTTGTTGCTGTGGTGATGGGTATGAATGGTACCCTTGATCCCTTGTACCAGTTAGAGCAAATCCCTTTTACTGTCCCTTCTCTGGAGTTGTGGCCTGGGCCTCAAGAAAAACCCACTTCCTGTGAGTTTACATCCTTCCTCCCAGCCCTACTTGCTTGAAGTCCGAAGCCAGTTACTGACCGATAATCCAAAAGCCAACCAGTCTCTGCTTCCTTCCGGTTGAAGGGGTGGACAAATGTGATAGATTTAGGGCTTCAGAGATTCACCACCAGTCCTGGGGTGATGCTAGTCTCCATCCAAGACTACATCCTCACTAGCTGTTCTCACCCTTCTCATCCCCCTCCCTCTCCCACTGAAACCCTTTTTTGTCTCAACAAACTTGCCTCCTACTTTCATGAAACAGGGAGGGAAAGGGAGACCCACTGAGTTTAATTATGGCTGAGTATGGTGGAGGTTTACTAGTGGAGCATGGGCAACTTATCAGTTGGCTACACCATTGAAGAAAATGACACTCCCTCCCCTAGCTTCCATTACTGCCCATAGCTCAAGGAGGGCTAGGGTCTCATGAGTCTCTCCCCTGCGCATGAAGGAATATTATGGGTCTAGTGCCCGTAGCTACAGCTGTAAATGAGTCCATGAGCACAACTGTCATGTCATGTCCATAAGACACTGTTTCATAGCACTCCTCCCTTCCTCTGGCCCTGGCTCTTACATTCTTTGGTCCCCTCCTCCACGGTGTTCCCTGAGCTATGGAGGGGGTGATATAGGGCTGCAATAGGGAGGTTTTGTAGTGCTGAGCACTCAACGTTTACTTATTCTCAGCACTTTGGCCAGTTGTGCACTAACTTTTACCAGCTCTGCACTGTCACCCACTACAAAAGAAAGGTTCTCTGACACGACTGCAAAAAAGCATTCATCTGTGGGTACAAACATAAGTATTTAGAAAGGCCTTGTCATGTTTTAATTTCCTGTTTCCCAGTCAGTCATTGCTGACAAATATTTAATGTCCACCCAGGCATAATACCACAACTTAAGTGAATTGTAAGCACTTCTATTGTAAATCAGCAGGTAGAAATAAATTAAACAATGTGCCTCACCTGAAAGTCAGGGCTGGAGGAAGAACAGTTTATCAAAACCACAGCATATTGCATGTACGTTAATCATAGTGGAATTATGTGTTTTCCACTGCCAGCGTACCAGTGTCTGCAGACACTCTTCCCAAAGTTCCCCATTGCAAAATTACTGATAGGTAGAACTTACTAACCTGCCATTCACTTACATCCTCCAAACCCTTGAATAATTTTAATAAATAGAAGATTCCCCCACAAAAGTAAAGCAATGTGTTTCTGATGATTCTTTTGCTTTTAGGGCAAAATCTACAAGTAGAGTATATATTTTTTTTTTCTTTAAATTGACCCTACAATTAAACAATGGTTTATCTCTAGTTTTTAAAACAATTTTATTTATTTATTTTATTTTATGTATGTGAATGTTTTGCCTGCATGTATGTATGTGCATCCATGTCATGCAATGCCAAGAGAGACCAGTGGAATGTGCCCGATCTCCTGGAACTGGAGTTAAAGACTGTTGTTAGGCACCATGTGGGTTCTGAGAACTAAACCCAGGTCCTCTGAAAGAGCAGATAGTGCTCTCATCTGCTGAACTCTCTCCAGCCATCTGCCTCTTTTTTTTTTTTTTTTTTTTTTTTTTGAGACATGATCTCATATCCATCTGGTCTCAAATTTACTATTTGACACAAAATGGCCTTGAACTTCTGATCCTCTTGCCTCTATCTCTTGACAGCTGAGATTACAGACATGGCCTGTAATGTGTTGTCTAGTTTATGTGTTGCTGGGGATTATACCCAAGGTTTTATACATGCTAGGCAAGCGCTTTTCAACTGAGATACATCTCCAACCTCTAGCTCTAGTGTTTTTCTTTTGCTTTTTAAAAAATATATGTATTGATTTTTTTTTATTTTATGTGCATGAATGTATTGCCTGCATGTATGTAATTGCACCCATGTCGTGTGATGCCCACAGAGATCAGAAGAGGGCATTGGATTCCCCTGGAACTGGAGTTACAGACAGTTGTTAGCTGTCATGTGGATGTTGGGAAACAAACCTGGGTCCTCTGCAGGAGCAGCCAGTGCTCTTAACCACTGAGCCACCTCTTCAGCCTCCACATTTTTTTAAGACATGGCCTCCCTATGTAGCCCTTGCTGGCCTGGAACTGTCTACATTAGACCAAGCTGGCCTTGAACTCAAAGAGATCCTCCTAACCTCTGCCTCCTGAGTGTTAGGATTAAAGACAAGCTCCACCATGCTGAGCCTCTAATGAGACATACTCAGTTCAGAAAGTTGTTCTTTGTTAATCCTGTTCTCAGGCCATCAAATCCATTCATGATTCATCACTCTCCACATCTTTAATCTCATCTTGAGTCATTCTCATCCATCACCAGCCTGTCACAGGCTGTCACTCAGCCATCTGGACTATTCCATTCTCCACATAGAATTGCTTCTTGCTCATGGTTTTTCTGCCTGATATACCCTTTCTTCCCTAACTGATGAGACCCTGCCTAACTTCTGTGGCACTATTCAACTCTTGGATGAAGCACTTCCTAGTTTAAGAAGAGAAAGTAAAATTAATTACTCAAACATTCACGTTTATAGAATAAATTCAAATTTTATTATGTCACTATCACCTTAAACTAGAATCAGACAGGTAAGTATTCAGAAACTCGATATATTGGCATGAATTTATTCTGCAGTACAGAGGATCAGTCTACCAGGGATTGCTACTGTACTAATACAGCAATGAACTACATTATCCAAGCCCTATGAAGCTCATGATGTAGCCCGTCAGACAGATAAAATTAAACACGTAATCATAATGCATCATGGAAAATGCCATAATGAAAGTGTGCATGACATTAGTGGGTCTGGCTTTTAACCCAGTCTGCAAGAAATAGGATTTTATTATAATTTTACTTTTTTATTTTGGGACTTTTTTTTAGACAAAATCTCCCTGTGGCCCCAGCTGGCCTGGAACTCACTATGTAGACTAGGCTGGCCTCAATCTCACAGAGATCCATCTGCCTCCTTCTCCCGAGTGCTGGAATTAGCAGCATGCACTGCCACACCTGGCTATTTTGGGGCTTTTGAAACACAGTTTTCCTTTATAGCCCAAGGTGGTCACAAACTCAAGACAAACTCAAAGCCTCCCTGGTGCTGGGATTACAGGTGTATACCACCATGCCTAATGAAATACAAATATTATGGGAAGGGGAGATGCCTCTGTTTATGACTTAGTAAAAATGGATGGGTATTTTAAGCAGATGGAAATGTAGAAAAATAAGAAGCAAGTGTACAAGTGTTCCACCTGGCTAACCTGCGGGGCTGATGCTCAGAGATGTGTCAGGGAAACTGGAGTGGTGCAGAGGCAAGCATGAAGACACACAGTGAACCCTTACCATTTCCCCAGGACTGGCAAGGACCTGAGCACAATGCAGCCACCATATGAACCCCTTCCGATGACATGTCGAAGACGCTCATGTTACTTTCGAAGAAGAAATTAGGTTATAAGTAGATTGGAATGACTAGTGCTAGGTCTTCAGTTACCATGAGAGAAGCAAGGTGTTGGTTAAGTGCAAGGACTCTGAGCCAGCCTACCTGGGCCTGAGTCCTGACTTCCATTACAAGCAACATGGAGACCTTCCATTTACTTAGCTTTCTGTACCTCTCTTTTCTCATCCATTAAATGGAGATAATACTAGCACTTAGCATTATTGGAAAGATTAAATGAATAATTATTGTAAAGCTTTGGGAAAAGGCCTGGCACACAGACTATGCTGTGAAAGCATTTGCTAGAGTTGGGCAGTAGCTATCATCACCATATTTCAACGGCCATATGGAAGCCTGTTGAGAAATAAGAACAGCACAACTTCTTGTTCATTTAGCTTCTGCAGCACAGCCGGCATTGTGGGAAATATGTAAACACCAAAGTCTTTGCACTACTCATCAAGGGTGGCCTTGTGCTTTGTCTTACAAACAATACTCAGGAAGGGTCACACAAATAATGATTTCATGCACTCATAAAAGTCACTTATTTTTTATCCAAATGTGGGCGTGCCTTTCTGGAGAATTTTAAGCATGAAACAGGATTATATATCTGGTTCAGGGAGAATGTCAGAGTGTCTTGGTAGGGAGGGGATGTCTAAAGTATCTTGTTAGAGGCTAGCTGGGTAGATGAAGGAACTGTAGGGAAGTTACTGCAGCAATCAGGCAAGAGATTATGAAGGTTGAAGTTGTACAGCAAGCAGGTTAGAGATGAGAAATTCAGAGATGGAAGTCTGGAGCTTTGATTGGGGCTGAGCTGAAGACACAAATGTAGGTGCTACACGTGTGTGAAAACTGAGACTAGGGACATGATGAGATCAGTAAGATGTACCAAAGAATAAACTAGAAGGCCAAGAGACCCTGTGGGTGAGCATAGTAAAGAAATTGGCAAAAGCCAGAATAAGTACCCCAAACCTTGTAAAGCAATCAGGAAAAGGTGATGCCACAAAGATCTAGGAAAGATGGTTGAGTCAAAGTGGAAACTACTCTCCCCGCAAAAAAAAAGAAAGGAAGAAAAATAAATAAATAATAAATAAATAAATAAATAAATAAATAAATAGTGAGCAAACAGCAAATGACATTAAGGTTTAGAAGGCAGTGATTGCATTGATTCATCATGTGGAAATCATTGATGAACTTGTGGAGAGAAGCTTTGCCGATGTGGAAGGGAGTTGCAATGGAAACCATGTTGACAGGGTAGTAATGCCTCCTTTGTATTTTAATGCACTCCCAAATCGCTTAAACAGTATGAAGAAAACAGGGATGGGAGCATGAAAGAGAAAAAAGAGCAAGTACCAAACCTTGGATGTTCATTTGCACCCAATCCAACCGCAGTGCCTTTCAGTGAAATGATACCGAGTAAAACGATATAAAAAAGAAATTAAGTTTTAATTATACAATTTCTGTATACCTGTATCTTCAACCTTAATTCTAAAATTGTAAATAAATAAAATTCTTACAATGAATTTTCAATCTATAAAGTGCTGTCTTAGCCGTAATAACTTTAAAATTAAGTTGCTAATTTTATTTTGTTTTAAAACAAATGCTCTGAAACTGATAAATCTCTTATTTTCTAAAATGTCCACATCATTTTTTAAATTCTCGGTCTTCACAGATTAAATACCTGTGAAATATCTAATTACCTACAATTGACTTTCTTCTCTGTCCCCCTCCATCCAATCCACTGTCTGGATATGTTTAAGGATATCTGCATTGCCACCAAAAAATATGTGACTGGAAGCATTATAGTTTCAAGAAAAGTGATGTTTTATGAAAAATTGTTAACCTTGTCATGCTAATACTGAATCATTAAATAAACTCTTCTTGCCCCATGTGCTGGCACATGCCTTTACCAGAAAAACAACGAAAAAAGTTAAATTCTTCTTTCAGAATTCCCTTTTTGTCAGGCTGACAATGTAGCTCTGTTGGTGCAGTGCTTATGTAGCATGTATTAAGCCTTGGATTCAGTCCCCAGCACCAGATGAAACAGGGCATGGTAGTCTCAGCACTCAGGAGATGGAGGCAAGAGGACCAGGAGCTCAGGGTCATCCTTGACTATATAGCAAGTTTGAGACCTTGTCTTTAAAAGAAATTCTCTTTTTCTCAATGCTAATTCAGTTAGAATATTCAAACTCTTTGTATCAAATGTTTTCAGACATTTATTTGGTTTTTGTTTTTTTTTTTCTACAGACTTTTCCCTTGTTTTACTGATAAAAGGAGGGGCCCTTTCTGGAACAGACACCTACCAGTCTTTGGTTAACAAGACCTTCGGTTTTCCAGGGTACCTCCTAATCTCTGTCCTACAATTTCTGTATCCTTTCATAGGTAAGATGATGGCAAAGACAGGTACTACAGTTATTGGTTCTAACCCACAGTCATTTCTAACCAACATTAGCTTTATTAATCATTTGAGAATCATCAAAGAAAATTACCAGTTGGAATATTTTCCAGATAAAGGTTTATATCTTTAACCATTTTCTTTCTTTCTTTTTTTTCAAAGAAACTAGAAAAGGGGGTATTTATTTTTATTTTTTTAACTTTTTCAAAACCTTTATTGAGAATTTCATACAGGCATATAAGGTGTTTTGATCAAATCCATGAATCCATGCCCACTCCTTCCCCTCCAACTCCTCCCATATCTCCTCTCAAAAAATTAACTAAAGAAGCATTTGTAAAAGGTTTAATGTGGTTAAGATACTTTGCCAAAATTCTGGCAAAACAACAATAAAAAAAAGACAAATTATTGGAGTATCTTAGTTTGATTCTCTATTGCTGTGATTAAAAACACTGACCAAAATCAACTTGAAGAGGAAAGGGTTTATTTGGATTACAGCAAAGTCCATCATCAAGCAAAGCTAAGGCAAGTACTCATAGCAAAACCTTGGAGTACAGACTATGGAGGGTACACTGCTTGCTGGCTTGTTCCTATGTTATTGAGAATTTCATACATGCATATAAGGTGTTTTGATCAAACCCATGCCCACTCCCTCCCCTCCAACATTCCCTCCTCTGAAGAGGTACCCCTAAAATTGTTTATGGATTAAATACATGCTTACAAATACTTTGACATTCCTGGCCTTTGGAACACAGCATGTTGCCAACAGGCCCAAGGACATTTTGACTTTTAGCCAAGAAACTGGCCACATTTCTTTGGAGTCTTTTTACACTAACTGCCTAGCCAGTTCCTACCTCCTGTTCTTATCACACCATCCTCTGAAGGGGTTACCCAAATTGTCAATAGGGAATAGGGACGCCCACCACTCTGGCTTCTTCTATGCTGAACAGGGATGTAGGGTGAGGCAATTGGAGTAGCCCTTCACTGCGTCTACCTAAAAGACTGCCAAATTATATAACTCTTGTCTCTATGGGCAAAAGAATGTCCTTGACTCATGAATAGAAGATGTGAAGGAGAAGTTTTTGATCTATTCTGTAAGCATGATTTTTAATGAAATAAAATGATGATTCTGGTTAATTTTAAGTTTTCCTAATCTGGCAGTAAATAACAACAACAATAATAATAATAATAATAATAATAATAATAATAATAACAATTTGAATTGAAAGTGAATGAGAGAAGTAGCAAATTTCTCTCAAAGCTTAATACAGCTCTGCTGTTGTTGTTTTGTTTTATTTTGTTTCTAAAAACCTAAGAATTCAGGCAGGCATGGTGGCACACACCTTTGATCCCAGTGCTTAGGAGGCAGAAACAGGCAGATCTCTGTAAGTTCAAGGCCAGCCTGGACTACATAGCGAATTCCAGGCCAGCTGGAGCTATAGGAAGACCCTGTCTCAAAGAGGAAAAAAAAATAAAACCTAAGAATTCAGGAAAACCAAGTACTGAGGCCAACATGCTATTTAAAATTTGTACCATAATGGTAAAAATGTTGCCCAGCATTTATTAAATAGATAAAATGTTTGCAAACCCAACAACCAAATTGACTTCATTTTTTATTTTAGGATTACAGAATCTACTGTCCAAATGACTAGATACACACTTTTCCACAGAAAGATAAAAATATATTTCTTCCAAAACTGTTACATTTACGATTGAGGGCATTTCCCAGTGTCTTCAAATTTATTATTGTTATTTATTATTCAATATAAGCAGTACATGTGTTCCTGAAAGTGTTTGGAAGCTGGGTTTGAACACCAAAATAAATCACGTTTTACACAACTGTCAAAATGCAATATTTGAAAGTATTCTGGGATAAGCCAATTTATGAAGTGAAAGTCTCCTTGAAATTTAATATGATACCCTATCATAAAATCTGTCTTGTTGTTATCGTTAATGTTGTACATATATGCAACTATAACACACTCCAAAAAATAAGATAATGCCAATATTTGGAAAGTAATGATTGTTTATGATCAAAATACTTGAGACAAAATATGTGCTGACATATTACTGACCATTATTGTAATTGTATTTTTAGCAATGATAAGTTACAACATAATAGCTGGAGATACTTTGAGCAAAGTTTTTCAAAGAATCCCAGGAGGTAGGTTAAAGATAAGACATATGGCAAGTTTAAATAAATTTATGTTGCATAGTTATAGTTAATGTAATTCATAAAAAAAAATTATAAGTAAAATATTTGACTATAGAAGAGTTGGCTTACTTCACAAGCTTGTAATTCCCATGATCCATGTGAGCCTGGAGTGTTGATTTCTTTTATATGTACTTATATGTTAATTGATTTTAAAAGCTGCTATTTTTCGTATGCTTACATTACTTTCTATTTTAAATTCCTTATGCTTCATATGACTAGTTCACTGTAATAACATGTTCTCATGTCCTTTGTATACTGCATCATTTCCCAAGCAAACTATTTTCCCATTATTTACCTTAAACTGTAATTTAACACAATAATAGGCATCTTCTCTTAATTTAGAGTCTATGAGTTCAGATAAATGCATATTGTCATATAACCATAGCCACCACAAAGACAGAGAACAACACCATCACTCCCCACAGCCTTTATAGGGGTCCCAGCTCCCCTTTGTAGCTAAACCCTCCTTACCTCCAGCCCCTGCAATGACGCCTCTGATTTTTCTTCTAGTTTTGATTTTTTCAGAATGCCATGTAATCACCCCTGAAGAACATATAGCTTTTTGAGCCTGGTTTCTTGCACTCAGCAGGATGTGGCTGAGATTTGTCATTATATGTGGGTCCCTCAGGAGCTTACTCATCTGCATTACTATCACTGAAGATAATTCCATATTATGTACATACAAAAGTAATGTATCACTTGACTGAGGAGCATATGTGTGGTTCCCACTGTGGGGAAATTATGAAACAGCTGTTGTGAATGTTGTCAGGCCGGCACTTCAGCATGTGCCCCAACCCCCTTCCTGTTCAGCACATCACGGTGTCATGGTTACTAGAGTAATTCAGAAACCATGGGCATGTTTGCTTTGAACTGTAGGAGCAGAGAACTAATTAAAGTCATCAAAGTATTAGGTTCATCCTTAGATGGTTTTGTATTTATATTTTGGTGACATATCTATTTTAACATGATTGTTTCAAAATCACTTTCTTTTATGTAGGATTTGTGTTATTTAATTCATTGTTCATCATTAAATGTTTGAGTGTTTACTGTGTCAACAAGGTGTCATCTGTTCCTGTAAATACTAAATGACATTTACTACATTTTAGTTGATCCTGGAAGCTGGTATATTGGTCGACACTTCATTATTGTGCTTTCTACAGTGACATTTACTCTGCCTTTGTCGTTACACCGAGATATAGCAAAGCTTGGAAAGGTAACTTTTACAGTTTAAGTAGGTATTAATTTTGTGCATCTACAGTGTATTTGGCAATGTGATCTTAACTATATTTGCCTTTAATTTCCTTTAGTTTACTGACAGTTATGCTTGAGTAATTGTGAGCAAACTGCAACTAGCTTATTTGGGAAACTGATCGTTAAATGTGCATAAAAGAAGTTCTTCCTCTTTCTTTCCTTAGAAAGATAACCTGATATCAGACAATGGATTTTAAACCTAGAAAATGCAAAGAATTATACTTAAAGCAAGTCTAATTTATTAGAAAAGTGTTCCATCATTTTTGTAGGTAGTTTAAACAAAAATTAAACACAAAGAAATGATGAGTGTGAAGAGATACATATGTGTAATCTCATTTAAGCATTATGCAATATTAAACATTGTGTCATACTGTACAAATTTTATGTTTTGTGTATCAGTTAAAAATTATTAAAAAAAAAAGCAGGGTGTGGTATCACATGCTTTTAATCCCAGCACTTGGGCGGCAGAGACAGACAGATCTCTGTGAGGATGAAGCCAGGCTGATCTACATAGTGAGGTCCAGACCATCTATCTAGGACTTCACGGAGACTGTGTATCCAAAAGAGAGAGAGAGAGAGAGAGAGAAAATAAAAGTAATGTAAGGGTGAATCACTTCAATAATGTGACATATCTTTATTTGTAAATTACAATGCCCATTATGCATATTTTCCTGTCAGTGAATTTAAGTGCCATTTGTTGATGGGTTGATCCTTGAGAATTCGGTCAATATTTGATTTTGTTTTTTATCTTCTTGAGATAGGTCTTCCAATAAACAAAGCTGTTCTGGATCTCTCTATGGAGACCAGGCTGGCCTCAGTCTCACAGAGATCTGCCTGCCTCTGTTTCTTGAGTGCTGGGATTAAAGGCCTGCACGACCATGCTTGCTAATATTTCATTCTTATTTCTAAAAGAGAGATACTAAACTCTAATGAAATTAAATAATTTTTTACTCACCACATAAATTCATTTGCACAGACTACCCATCATCTGGTTATATTTTATTCTCTTACTACCAAGGAATGTTTATATTTTACCCAAAATAAAATTGGTACTACATCTACATGATGCCATAGATTCTGATGATTTTTTTAAAGGGTAAATCATGTGATACTTTTACATTCTGCTTTGAAAAATTGCAACAGCTGATCAAATGTTACCACTCACTATGATGTTTGAGGCAGAATATTCAGTTATGAACAGAATTGAAATAGGAGCAGAGCCAATATTCAGGACTGTTCCTGTCACCACATGTTCATCCCTAGCAGGTCATCCAGAATTAAGTGGGAGTGTATCAACAGGGCATTTTTTAATGCTAGTTATCTGAATGATTGGACTAGTTTTCAGTTCACAAGTTCAATGTAGATATAAATGCTATCTCTGAGAGCAGAAAGCAAAGCATTCATGGAAAGAAGTACTGTTATTTAATGTAATACTAATTCCTGAATATTTACCCCTAAATGTCCCTTGAAGGTATCATATTGAAATATTGAAATCTCTCAATGAACAAAGCACAGTGCAAACCCTGTCTGGAGTCAGCTGCTTGAATTAAATTCCACTCTCTGTCACCTTCTATCTGTGATGTTCAATTTGATTTTTTTTTGTCTCTATTCCTTACAAGACAAGTGGACTCGCCCCAGAAATATCCAATTAAACACTAACAACATAGAAACCAAGGTTAATGATAATCACATGAAATAAAAGCAATTTGATTTTTTACTTGTCAGAGAAACCATCTAGAGCATGCTCATCAATTTTAAATGAAAATTCAAAACAGAAAATTAACAGGGTGAGTGTACGGAGGGCACGCTCACACAGGGCAGTCTGTATTTTAACTCAGTGAAATAGTGACAGTACTGAAAGGAAGACAAAGAACAGATCCAGAAACACAGACCACAAGGCAGACCACACAGATACAATAGAGTAACAGAACTAGAGAGCAGGGGAGGAAAAGCAGAGACATTAAAAAAATGAATTGGGGTGGGGTATGCGTGTTATGTTGGAAGGAAAGGTGGAAGATAAGAACAGAAGAGGCAGTAAGAGATGGAAAACCCACTCACTCCAATACTGAAATAAGGTCTGGAGAAGAAAGAAAGATGTATTTCACTTTTACTTTCATAAACTCATAAATTAAAAGTACCCGATTTGTATTCTATTCAGGAAATCACTGCAAGAGAATAAAGCTGTGTTGGATGATCACGGTGGATATTTGCTTCTCTGTTTGAGGCCAGGGGACCAAAACTGTGATCTGATAAATAATTATGTGCCTAATGTTACAGACGCCAATCTTTAACATTATAAATACTTACCTGCCAGGAGAGATACCATGATCATGAAGATGGTTTTTACAGGGTGAGGGTCAGGCTCATCCATTGCACTCCAGATTTCCCCAAAGGTGGGACACTCAGCTGTGGTAGTGGGGGACTGCGTCCATGCTCTCTCCTTAAGCTAATTCTTTTTTAAAGAAACAGGTTATAAAGCTATAAAGAACTGAACAAAAAACAACCTGTGAATAAGTTCGCCCAAGCAAAAAAAGAAAAAGATGTGATATTGAATAATATAGTCTGTAACTTATACTAATGATGTCTTTACATTTTTTTTGCAGATATCTTTTATTTCTACAATTTTAACAGCTCTAATTCTTGGAATTGTAATGACAAGAGTAGTTTCCTTGGGACCAAATATGTAAGTTGTGATGTCTTTGATTTGGTGTAGATATTTAGATGACAAAAATGCAGAAATATATTCAGTAAAATACAGAAATAAAGAAATATAAGACAAAAATAAAGAAATATAAGACAGACATGGTGTCTCATGTCTGTAATCCCAGGACTCACAGGAGGAATCAACAGAACCAGTAGTTCAAGGTTATTTTCAGTCGTATAACAAGTTCAAGGTCAGCCTGAGACACGGGAGACTGTCTCAAAAATACGAAAAAAAAAGGAAAGAAAGAAATAATAAATTCCATATACAGTAATAAAAAAATCATCAGTTTAGTATTTGAAAAAATAAGAGAAAGTTTTATAAGTGAGTAAATATGCACTTTTCAGTTGAATCCTGCAAAGCTGAAGAGACTAAAGCAAGCTTAACATTTTAATACCCATAAGAATTAGAATAAGGATAAGATTTTGAACAGTAGCCAACAGGAATGAAATACAGTTGGAGTGATTTTTAACAAAATTTCACTAGTCTAAGCTGATTGAGATGGATAAAAACAGTAACTAGTAAGATGCGGGGCACATGCCTGCAATCCTGTGCTCAGAAGGCTGAGGCAGGAGATGGCAAGTCTGAGGGCAGCCTGAGCTAAATATGGTGCTGTTTCAAAAAAAGAAAAAAAAATAGTGTTTGCTTTTCTCCATTACACTTAAAAACTTCCCTTTATTCTCTTCTAAATTGGTATTATTGAAATGCTCAATCCACTATTAACTATGCTAACAGCTGTCAGTAGGATTGTTGTCTGTATTTAATGTTTTAATTTGGTCAAGTAAAATGTTGTCAACTTGGTATTTGTTATCAAATTCTAGAAATGTTGTGCATCCTTGAAATTCAAAGTACACATACTGCTAACTTAAAGTCTCCTTTTATGCCTTCAGTGTAACTAGGTGCACTAGATAAAGCTAGGAAACTAACATTCATAATCTCAGGAACACACTGTACTGAAAACAGTTCAAATTGGCTTAAAACAGAGTTGAATTACCACAGCACATAATAAATATTCATGGAATAAATCAATGATACATGGGACATTGATCACTATGGCACCTTAAATGTTTTCTCTGTAACACAAAGAAAAGTTAATTTGTTATGTCTTCAAGAACAAGGAGTTAGGCTGGGAGTGTTAGCCCATGCCTTTACCAGTACTCGGGAGGCAGAGGCAGGTGAAACTATGTGAATTCAAGGCCAGCCTCGTCTACATAGTGAGTTTCAGGCCAGCTAGGACTACAGGGAGACCTTGTCTCAAAAAAGATAAAAAAAGAAAAACCCAACAAACAAACAAACAAAAAACCTCAAGGAGTCTGTGAGTGCTCTCTAAGAAAAGAAAAAAAGTGAACAGCTCTGATTTTGATAATGCCATCCACAAGATAATGTATTTTCCTATTTATTAATTGCTGTTCTGCAAAATTACTTCCTTAATTGTATGCACTCATGGAAAGCTTCTTAGCTTACCAGAAAAAAAATACAAAAAAAAAAAAAAAAAAAAAAAAAAAAAAAAAAAAAAAAAGTGCCTCAAGTGTCTACAAGTTTGAGCTCAGGGTGCTAACATGCTTTTATTCTAATAAAGTCCCCCTGCTTCTAGCTCAGTGACCCCACACTCAGAGATCTCTACCCTGACTTCATCTGACCCTGGTTACCTCCCAAAGGCCTTTTCCCCAAATGCCAGCACACTGAGCTATAAGGACTGTACCATAGTTATTGGGACAGACACCTAGCGGAATGTGACTTGTGATATAGTGCTTCAGTAGCATGCATGAGGCCCTAGACCAAAAGAGAAAAGAGAAAGTAGAGAGTTGTTACTAATTCAGTCCATATATTCCCTTAGCAGTGTTGAAATGTACTTGATTCTGTTCGGGATCGGCATGTCATTTAGTCTTCCTCTCAGCAAGCACTTATTGAGTGCCTGATGTTTATGGTTGTTATCCTATAACCTGAGGGAAAAAGAGCAAAGCATTACAGAAATCAGCACCTGCTGCAAGTTGTTCACAAGTTGTATATTTTAAAAAGAAAAAGAAAAAAAAAACTCAGATAGTCCCACCCCCTCACCAACAGGGCCTCACAAGCCCCTGAGAAAATGGAACTGAATTGATAAGCACCATGGTCTTTGAAGTCAAGAGAAGCAGACTTTTCTCCACTGTTTGGCCAACACAGGAGGCTTCCCTTTTGATCTCTAAAGGGGACAGGTTTTAACAGTCCCACTCTCCTACTTTCCCCCCTCTCCCCTCACCCAACTTTAATAAAAATACATCTTCCCACCTTCTGCAGGAAGCAGAAGCCTCTCCCCTTAAAAAGACCCAGCTCACGACCCGGGGCAGACATTTTCCCTGACCGGAAGGGAATCTGTCCCATGTGTTCCTTGGTAATAAGCTCTATTCAGATGGAGTTTTATCTGTGTCCTGGTGCTTTCTCCTGATCAACTGGATTCATCCATAGGCTACTTTATCTATCAAGTACAATATGACACATGCAGAGTGAAAATGAAACAGGGACAGGGGCTCTTATTCTGTGGCATTATGTTGGTTCTGTATTCTGTCCTGGTCTTCAAAAGCTAACTTAGAGACACAAAAAGATAATCGATACATTAAATAATGGAATAGAGAATAATTCAGGCTAAAACTGTAATTATGTGAGACTCAACTATCGTAATTGAAAATTTTACCATGGAAACAGACCCTACGTAGCCAATCACTGTGTGAAAATAAAAAGCCTAATAGATTGGGTATTTACAATACTATGAGGCAGTATCAAAGGGCGAAAATGTAGAGAGAAAGTTAGGAAAATTGAGACGTCAGTAAATTTGCATGCAATTGTCCTCCAGGAGACAGGGTAAACAATGGCCCCACCTCCGACTTCACATTGGAATTACCAGAGTAGCTTTGCTGGTGCCAGGGCCCCACTTACAGGGGGTCTGACCACATCTGCCTAGGAGCCACATGATTGTATTCCTTATGGAACAGTTGATGAGTCATGAACAAGGAACCAGACAGATCCTAAGAGGTTAACCGTGAGTGTACATTAACAGCACATCAGTCCCAAAATGAAACCAAAGAGATTTTATTTTTAGTTACTGCCCTATGAGGTTTCATAATTCATTCATCACTTTTTCTTTTAGGTATTTTCATATTAAAGTATTATGTGAGGTATTATCATGAACACAAAGAGAAATAAAACATCTGTGCTCTCAAGGGACTCCTAGCGTAGTGGAAAAGATAGCACTGTGCAGACTAGGAAAGATGAGTCTTACTGTTCCACACAACAGAAAACAGAAGGAACACTCACGTCCTCTTAGGGTCAAATGAGTTGATTTTTGTAACCAGAGTTATTTGTTATGGTTCTAGAGAAAATGTGGCCCATAATTTCCTCCAGTCATTTTCTGAGACTGAATTTTTATAACACAGATTATTTATTTAACTTTCAATATTCAGATGTTAAAGAAGAATGTTTTTTAATGCCATGCTATCTTGTATTTCTGTTTGAATACTACTGCAAACAATTTCTGTTTGCTCCATTTACAATCAGGCTAATGAAATCTTGTGTTCAGAGTTTGGCATAGTAGCTAGTCAAGCCAGCTTCCTTCTGAAAATATGACAAGCATGAATGCTTATAATCCATAAAACATGAAAAATTCAATACACCGTATGTGGTTTTCTTCATTTTCAGTTCAGATGAATGATCAGAAAAGCTGATTTTTTTCCCTAGGTCTTTGAAAAAGATCTTTAAACCCACTATCAGAAAAGAGGAATGGCTACTGGTATTGACCTTGTTACCATGGAAACCTCTTTTTAGTGGTTATGTTTTTAAAATAAAACACAATTCAATTTCCTTTTCCATAACTCACAAGGCCATAAATTCTGCTTTCTGATATGGTTTAAAATAGCCAAAGCCCAATGACTTTCAGTTCTTCTTGGAAATTGCGTTCAGTTTTATTGTGTTTTCTAGCCTCTTGCTTTCTAAAAACTAAAGTAGCAAGGCAATTTAACTGCTTTCCAAAAAGTGTCTAAGTATGAAAACAAAATAACATAATTCTTTTTTCCAGTTTTTAAACTTGAATAAGAGACATTATTGTAAAAACCTTTATTTAGAATCTCATTAATATTCATATTTTTCTAATCAGTATGGAAATGATAACATGCAATCAAATCAATGCAACTATTTTCACTTCATATAACATCTCTGTTATAACTTTTTTGTAAGGTAGAGAACAGTTGATTCTGGTCACAGCAGAAACAGGAGTGAGAGAAGGAGATGGGGAGCCACAAGTCCCTGCAGGACATGCCCCAGTGCCCTCAGATGCCCCAGGCCCCTCTTCTTTATTTTTTTTTTCAAATAATTTATTGAGAATTTCATGCAGGCATATAAGTGTATAAGATGTTTTGATCAAATCCATGCCCACTTCCTCACCTCCAACTCCTCCCATATCTCCCCATCACATTTTTCTGATAACTTCATGTGCTCTTTCTTCTTTTTTTTCCTTTAATGGGGCTTTTTGTTACTCTAACATCCCCCCCCCCCGGAAGAGGTAACCTTAAAATCTTTTAAGGATAAGATAAAAGCTCCAAAATACTTTTGACATTTTTGGCCTTTGGAACACAGTATGTTGCTAAGAGGCCCAAGGACATTTTGACTTTTAGCCAAGAAACTGGCTACTTTTCTTTGGGGTCTTTTTACCCTAACTGCCTAGCCAATTCCTACCTCCTATTCTTTTTTTATTTTTATTTTATGTGTATGAGTGTAATGCCTGCATGTATGTGAGTGCACACGTATCCTGCAATGAAATGCCACAGAGATCAGAAGAGGGCTCCGGATTCCCCTGGAACTGGAATTAAGGACGGTTTGTAGCCTCCATGTGGGTGCTGGGAATCAAACCTAGGTCCTCTGCAGGAGCAGTCAGTGCTCTTAACTGCTGAGCCATCTCTCCAGCCCCATCCTACCTCCTATTCTTATCACATTATCCTCTGAAGAGGTTACCG